GGCAGATATTATTGTCGGAAAAGACAAGGGAGACTGGAATGGCCATTTCTGGCTTATTAGTCGTCGTGAGCCAGTCCTAGCCAGACCCAAGTGGTGCCTGTTGGGACGCCGCGCGTCCCACGATGAGTACCAGGCGCGGGTCATAACAGTGCCTCACTTGAGTATCGAACTCGCTTGATAGTCTACAGGTGTATCTCTAATCAGAACAAGGTAGCCCTCGAAATTTACGATTTTTAGCAAGAACAGGTCGACGGATTCAAATACTTAAAGCATAACCAGAAAAAACAAATTTTCTGATAAAGACGTCAGACAGAGGCAGGTGGAGACAACGTAGTATAATGTCAGTCAAGGTACCGACTTAGAACGGTCAATTACCCATCAATATTTATAGGTGCACCCAAAACGGAATAACAATGAGGAGTACTTACTATCCACGTTTCTCCCACGTGGGGACAAGTAAAGGCGAAGTGGAAGGGTCGTCGCCATCCGAGTTCCCCGTTGTGTAACCTGGTATGCGGCCATGGATAGCATCCAAGATGAAGATGTCTATGTAAAAACTGGCCTTGAGGCAACAGCGGAAATCTACACTCTCCAAAACAGTCGTCCGGTCTGAGGAGCGAGAGAAGACCGTCTTCGGGATGGAAGGGCCATGTGACAAAAGTGAGTCTGAAGGAACCGAGCCGGTTGACGGAGCCTTGGGAAAGAAATAGAGTCCACATTAAACCAATGACTAAGTCGTTTCTACCAGTCTCAAAATGCAATCCACTAAACAACATGGCATATAAATATTCGTAGTATGGTAAGAACGCATAGAAAATAATAGACAGAGGTATTGAGGCAATAAATGTATTAAGTTGATTCTGGTGCATCTGCTAAGTGGAAACAGCTGTGTAAAGTGTACGTTACGCCTAAGGTTATAAAGCAAATCGGGAATCTTACTTTCTGTGTGCCAAGGCTCTGCAACAGCATTGATTTCTTTAAAAGAGCACTTCGGTTAAAAAAGGACACTGACACCGGCTCAAACGCGTCCATATATTTCTTTCGACGGCTCCTAGCTCCTAGTTTTATGTGGATGGGCATTGAAACTTACAAAACGTCAACTGAAAAACTCAAATGCCTATTACGTTAAGTATCTGGCAAACATAAACCGCCTTGCACCACCATTCGGGAAACTCAGGTTAAGTGATAACTGATATGGCTGGCAAAATCGACCAATAGCGAGAGCAGTTCAGAGAGCTACTGGATCCGACTATACGTCTATCTGCGAACCTACAGCTATCAACTGGAATTCCACACGATAATGACTGCAGGTCACCTACGAGATCAGAAGTGGAAAAGGCGTTGCAACGATTGAAAGGTCGGAACGCATAGAGTAAGGATGGTATTCCAGCAGAAGTCTACAAAACTGCTTGTTCTGCTTTGACAGAATCACTTCATCAACTGTACTTGACTATACTGTCTACAGAGGTCATTCCAAAGGACTGGTCTTTGTCCATCCTCTTGCCGATACCGAAGCGCGGTGACAGATGCATGTGTCCCAATTATCGCGGAACCCATCGAAGCGGTTAGCTACTTCCGCCATTTGGACTCGAATATACTAGCCAACGGGCAGGCCAAAGAAGAAATCAGAAACTGAATCGCGCGGACTCGAAATGCATTTAGACTTTGGTCTCCCTCAGACATCAGTTTAAGTACTAAGCTGTTGGTATGCAGAACCTCCATCACACCACTGTTACTATATGTTTGTGAAACATGGCCAGTCAGAAAGACAGACATTCTATCACTCGAACATTCGACCGTCGGTATCTTCGACGCATCTTAAGAGTGTCCTGGCGGGAATGATTTTCCAATGTTGAGGTATATCACAGATGTTCCAACTACCAAATCTAGCATCATACATCCAATATCGCTGATTGCAATCGTTTGGCCATGTCCTGCGCAAGCCATCGACGGACCTCTGCAGATTGGTCGTGAACACTTCTCGTAGTATACACTGGATATACCGACATGGCGATCAAGTGAAGACATGGCTCAACACTGTCAAGTTAGACGTTGAACGCGTAGGCCTTGTAACCGTTTACGGCTTGCGACACTGTAATAAGTACTAGGCTGACATTTGCTAGGAGCTTGCTTCCGATCGTCTCCAATGGGCCGTCACTATCAGTGACATCCGTGAAGTCGATTCATCTAACAAGAGGAGCTAATCGAAGCAAGTAGACGTACAAGGGAAAAAAATATAGCTAAAGCAGAGTTTCAGTCCTTTCATGAAATAGAGCCCTAACCAAGTAAACCAAAGAACGTCAAAGCATGATGATTTGGCATTAAGAATAGTCTCGTCTAGAAAAAACTCATCAAATAATTGTTACCGAGAAATTTGGACGATCTATTTTTAAAAAGTTCGGGTGTCCAATCCACCAAAATATCTATGTTGTGAATTATATGTCCGGTGAAATGAAAAACAAATGAGTTGGGTGCGTTTCCATAGAATGCGCAACCGAAAAGAACCGTGGCGGTCAAGCATGCTGTAAAAACTGTGGTTAATGTTTAGTTCAAGTAAATGCAAGTAGTATGACACACCACCCTCATTAAAAATGATGACATTAGAAGAAAGCGTGAATTATTTAAATTTCCACTTTATATAAAGATTCATGTAAATGTAAGATTAAGTAATCGTTTATTTGTCAGTCCTTTGTAAAATTTCACATTTAAGACCGAATAAATTTTCCTATGAAAATTTAAGAAAGTCATATTCTTTAACGATGGCCTGTGTGTATGCAAATTGTTAAGGCTTCGACGATGACCCTCCGCGTATTTACCGTGGAAACATTGCCATGCTCTCGTGAAGTGATGCCCTGTTTCTGGTACTAAGCGGTAGGCGACACGAGTGCTCAATAAGACGTTTTGGAAAACTCACGAATGTAAGACTGCTCTAGAATCATGCAAGGAGTGTTTTAAAGCAAAAGTGAGTTCTGCCAACAACTAGCTAGCAAACAGAGATAGCCTAGATATATTTGAAGACGTGGGTTTCAGTCAGTTTACTGTACCAACATCAAACAAGATAACAGTATCTAGCGAACCATGTTATTCGAAGATCAGGGCAGATGGAT